ACAGCACGTCATGGAATGACATCACCGGTTCACTCGTAAGTTTCCCTCCCACGGACATAGACAACACGTACTTCTGGAAAGAACTGATCGCCTGCTTTCCTTTTGCTGTAATGTTGGTATTTGATAAGACAAGTAGAAAGAAAAATGTGTATACATGTGTAAAGAAGTCAATAAACCAACACAATTTGGGAGGCTGCTGTATTGGTACTACTGATGGAAGCGATTTATGAAAAACACAGTTAAGATGGCCTCAGGTGGCATTATATACATACTAAGTTTCATGAAGATTGGTTCGAGCATTCAGGTAATGTTATGGTTTTACCCTCGACAATATGACAGGCTGTAGTATTGGTATTACAATTGTGAAGATTAATGATATGGCATGACACATAAATACCAAGTTTAACTATGACAGAATTCAGGAATTCAACTAATATTAAGAATATTACCTCGACAGTTTGAGAGAGTGTAGTGTTCATATTAGTGATTTGCTCAGGAGGCATCATAATAAGTACCAAGTGTCACGGCGATCGGTTCAGGCATTTAAGTATCATTACAGTTATCACCGCCACAATATGAGGATGTAATGTTGGTATTACTGATCGAAGGTATTTATGAAGTGCGCGTCATGTGGCATGATATACATACCATGTTTCACGAAGACTGTTACAGGCGTTCAAGCAATATTAAGGTTTGGCCTCAGAAATTTCAGGGGCTGTAATGTTGGCATTGCTAATGGATGGGATTTGTGAATTACGCCCTTGAGTCTGCCTCAGGTGCCATGATATGCATACCAGGTTTTACAGATTGGGTCAGCCTTTCAGAAGTTAGTAAGGGGAGATACACATATAGACACACAGACAGCAAGGCGAAACCATAAGCTTACTTTTATTTTTTCTAAATAAGGATGCCCCCTCGTTGGTGTCTCCACCTTATCGTGGTGAGGGGGTTTGAGTATGCCAAGGACCCTGAGAGCTATACCAGCGGTAGCGTAGCTACTGGCAGGGCCTCCCTTGCTGGACAGGTCAAAGGGTAGGCATCAGACGAAGAGAGACACCAAAAACCAAAAACCAAAAACTGATGCCGGAAGCAGCGTCATCAGCAGCGACTTGAAGCACAGAACAAATGATGCTCGAGATGGTTCAAGTTCGTATAGCAACAGGCGTGACCAGAGTGGTTTGAACGGCTGTTGTACTGCGATGTGGAAAGCAAATGGAAAAACTACCACATTATCACATTTCCTGGATAGTCTCTTTCCAAAAACAGAAGATCACATTAAGTGGAGGAACTGTTTTGGAAGAGACTGTGGACCTGTCATCTGACAGATTACTGATCAATCAATCAAATAAGGAAAGTAAAGTAAAAACAGAGGTCTTCTCATCCGCATGAAAGAAAATACGATGTGATAAACGAAGCATCAGTGCCCACTTCAAGAATAATTTGTGAGACTAGAGCTTCTCATAGCAATAACTACAATCTATCTGTTCTATCTATCTATCTATCGCCAAACATGGATTTCGTGAACAAATACAGATATGAACTATACAGATTACAATCTTCAAGGATGTTATACCGTGTAGTTTGGCAGTTGTTTACCGAGGTTTCAGAGGAATGTGCTACCCTATCTTCTGGACGGTACAGTAAGCAGCAAGCATAGCCCAGAGGCTTGCAGGGGTGTTGCCACCTGCTTCATGCTGGTTTTTCAAACGGTTTACAATTCTATCCTGAAGATGGAGGCGACGTGTCCCTCAGAAACGTCGACTGACTTTCGATGGACTACACAGCGTTATGTCCGAGAAGACAAAACTCTTCATAACCACTGCTGTGAGAACCTCAAATTCTGCATATAAATACCTTTGTCTTACATTTGATATTCAGCTAATAGGTTACAAGGCACAAAGTTATTAATAGGCCAATACAAATAGGCATAATCAAACGGTAAAGTGCTAATTCAGGGGTGGATAACAAACTGCTAGCTTGAGAAAGAGAAGGCAGACCCAACATACGTGAAGTACTTTATATATACGCTTTTGCTTCAAACAAAATAATTATTCAGAGGTACCAAATGTTACTCAAAATATTCTGAAGATCATATTTAATATTACTACATACTGCAGCAATCTGAAAGTTATCAACAGCTTGAGGCATAATTCTGCATATTCTTACTTTCATTAGTATGAAAATACACAAGTTTATAATGTAGCAGTTTTATAAACATATTGAGCAGGTGAATCTACGTGTAGAAGGCTGAAACAACTAGTTTAATAGATATCAGCTTCACACTTTGAAGACATTCATCAAAGACAAGTTAACAGAAATTTATAACGGAAGGAAGGAATATGAATGCTTCAGAGATAGTGTATAGAAAAACAAGAAAATTGTGAGCTAAAAACATTAAGAGGAAAAGGAGAGGTGATGGAGGACAAATTAAGTCAAAACTTTCTGTAGATAGTATAACCAAGAACCTTCCACTCCATATTTAGTATTACATATTCAATTCAATTGTTCTTACAAAGAATTTGTTTTTGTGCCTAAACTGAAAGGTGTACTGTATAGAAGATATTCTTTCTTTCTGTGAAGATAATTCAAGAAATATGATTGAGAACTACCAACATGTGCTAGTGGCATTACCCTTTTGTTCAAATTGTGAGCCAACAACATCAATTATGGTGCTAATGAAGGTTAATGATCACTGCCAGAAGTTCGAGTTCCTACGCAATAAATGAACACTAACTGCTGCAAGTAGAGATGTGATGGTGTATGAACCGTTTCTCTGTCTCAGCCTGAAATTCCAGAAAATGAATTCCTTCATGATGCACTCAAAATGTTTGTCTCACATTACTGAAAACTGACGCATGATGTGACCGCTAAAAAATATAGTTTCATTAATGAGGGGGGGGGGGAACCGAGAGTTCTGTGCATATACATTTGCATTTCACGGCTCTTAAGTGTTAGGCCCCAAAATCTTCAAAACTGTCATACATATTCATACAACATGACTCCACAGAATGCATATCTAAAGTTATTATGAGACCAAAACAGAATCCAGTTATGTCACTTTTCATTCTACTAAGGAAACGCCTAACAAAAATAACAACTTTTATAAAGAGCTATTATTATGCAAAATCTCACATGAGTCCACAATGAATCACATCACATCTGCTTCAATCAAAGACGTTTTCATATGTTCATGAAAAGGAGATGAAATGTACAAAGGAGTGACCTATAATTGCAGACAAATCATATAAAGTTTCAAATTAATCTGCCCATGAAGTGCATGATATGGATATCTGTAACTGAACAAGTACAGTATTATCTGAAACATAGCCTGTTAAAGCAGCTCCACAGAAACGTTGTTCCTTTAGAATATTAAAAAGAAAAGGAAACATTACATACTTGTAATTATGAATAACAAGAAGTTCAAATTAAAGACATCTGAAAGAAACTGTTAATTGTAATGTTCTGAATTTTAATTTCAAGACATAAAAAGGTACATGAATGCAGTTTCCCTGGCACAGCATACCACGATTTGTAAGAAATGCAGGATTCAATAAATTCCCCATTATGTTTATATAGTGGCACTGTGTAGCCTTGTAGAGCCTTACTGACATCCTGGAGGAACCTGCTGCCTGTCTTACACATTAGATTAATCTAAGGTAAAAGTAAAGTTGTCCTTGTGTTTAATTAATTAAACACTATGCCATGAAGACACATGGGGGTGCAGGTATAGCTCCACCATTCTTAACCTTGGCATGAGATGGAGGTAAGTGGTCAGTTTCAGGACCCGCCTGCTAACCCCCCCCCCCTGGAAAGGCACCCCAAAGACCATTGGAAAGGAGGCCAGGTGGGCTCTAGAGCTGGTCCAGATGCTGTGAAATAGAGAAAAATCCTACTCTTGCTGGGAATCGAACCCCATCCATCCATCCATCCATCCAGTCAATAACATGAACTAATACCAAATAAGCTATCCTGGCTGTGGTTAATCTAAGCAAGTGGGAATAAATCAGACCCTCTGCAAGCATGTTACATGGTCAAAATGCGAAGCCAACAATTCTTTGAGTTAAGAACCTACTATGTACACAAAAAGAGATCACTGAAACAGATGTATAATTTGGTTCACTATTGTCAGAATAATGACCAACTCTGCAGCAGCCACACCCTAATGGTACCACCTTACTTATTCTTCTTGCAAACACTCCAAGACAGTGAACCTTCAGACATTCATATGTGGGTCCTACTTGCTTCACATCCTGTGAAACCTACAGAAAAGCCCTAAATGAGTCACACTCTGAGTCAGATCAGTGGCTGTCTGTTTAGAGACTGGAAACAAAAACAGACTGACACTACATTTCAAGTATAGAATCAGCATAAAAATATTCAGAATTTTGAAAACCACATTCATGTGAACTATAGCAACCGACAATGATGTGTCCATGTTAAATGCAGATTGAACCTGAATTTTTACATTTTCTCTCTGCAAAATGCATAATATATCAAAGGTCAGTGACTAGACACAGGAATTTAACTGATAATTGGATGTACTGAACACAGCCACAAATAGTTATAATGCTCTCACTAATTTACATGCTTTACAAATCATTAGAGCACATGTAAGTCTCAGTGTGTTATAGCCTTCATTGGTCACCGCTAGACAGTGGCTCCCAACAACGGACATTCCTCTGCTTCTGTGCTCATGTCCTTACTGTCTGGCGACTATTTCACAACTCGCAACTGCGACTGCCTGGATTTTATTTTTCAGTAAATTACTTCTGGTCCTCGCCAGCACAGTCTTATTTTTGTTCACTCCTGGCTCTTTCCACTGACGTAACGCTTCCTAATTCCAAACAAAGACAAATTCATTTATACCTGAACGCTCTGTCCCACCACCTGTCTGAACTAGTTCTGTTGCAATTAAATTGATGCCTAGAAATACATGACGTTTCAGCTAAAATATCTCTAATCCAAGTGCACTTGTAAAACAGCAAAGATTATATACTCACGCTTCACAATATGGCTGCTTGTTGAATCCTTTGTAGTTCCGCATATTCAGGGTCATGTTGCAGACCTGGCATTTGAAACACTGTTTGTGCCAGATCTGGAAAAAAAAACATGTAAAGGTCTGTGTTAAGGAAATAACAGTCTAATAATGCATGGCCTCATTTTCTTCAATCAAAAAAGACCTCTGTAAGATCAGTGCCAGGTGGAAGCCTTAGACAAGAAATAAATGTTGTATTTATCAATGAAGGGGCCACAGTCCTCTATCCCATAGGTCAGATATAAATTTTTAAGTTACAATAGAGTATAATCCTATCGTTTGACAGATTAAATGAACTGCACCAANATCGTGACAATATAAAAAAGAGACAAATTTTTCATGACTAATTGTGATCCTGTTCTGTTAACAGTCTCCTTCAAAGGTTTGGAGAAAGTTATAACAGGTTAAGTCATTACATGCAGAGTAACAACATATTGGTCTGAGAACAATTTGACTTCAGGAAGGGTGTGTCTGCTGAATGAGCTACATTCAAGTGAAGTGACAGTGTAAAGCCATTTAAAAAAA